TCAAATTATGCAAGATGGAAATAAATGCAGAGCTTTGCAGAGCCATGCAGAGAATTATGTGCATGGCTTGCTTGATTTTGGAAGCACTTTGGTGACCTGTAAAGTCATGTTTCTTCTGTGAAAAATGTCAGAATTAAATCATGTCCTGAAGCAATAGAAGATCCATCCCCAAGATAGGAACCTCCCTGTTCCAAGTCAGAAGCAGTCCTGGTATATTGCTTGTTGTTGAAATTTGGATTCATGTGTACTTCTGCATTCCAGTTTTGCCTATTAGGATTTTGGCTAGCTTCTAACTGCCTGGAAGCTAATGGGCATGTCTCCACAGATGGGTGCAAGCAGGCCTCAATCTTTCCATGGGGTGAAATACTATTTAACAGTACCTCTTAAAATCATGCAATAACGTACACCTGGTTTGATGGAAGAAGAGACAATACTGTCCTTATTTAGGACAGAAGCTGCAAATTATCTTTTGATGGGGCAAGTGCAAAAGAAGACTGAAAAAGGCAGAAGCTTCTCTGCCAGACTGGAAGCTGACTGGCTGAGAGCCAGCTCTGGTACAAACGCTGTATAGCTTCATTAGGGAAGTGTTGTGCCCGATGAACACATCCTGCTGAGCCTCAAGGCATAGTGCCATACTAGTGTTGCTAAAGAGCTTCCAGGGCAGAGCTGGCTGGTCCTTTTCTAGTCAGTTTTGAGTATGGGGTTTGGTCAATATGCACTCACTCATCTGTTAGATGTTTCTACCCCAAACCACCCTAGAATGACAAATTTAACAAAAGAAACAGTAACACTTCCCCTTTCCCCACAAATTTAGTTTTAATTTCTGAGTGATGCTAAAATGAATGCTGAGAGAACCTCATCCTCTTGTTCATTCTCATTGCCAATTAGTTAGGAATTTGGTGTGATTCCTTTCATATCATAGCAGGTATACGGAAGGAGTTCTGCAGAGCTTGCACGATTTTGATGGCAAACTAAGCCATTCTACTTCTGAAAAGATGTATTTTATGTAAACTTCAAGTAAAGCCTGTTGTTTGTGCATCTTGAAAGAAACATGATTTGGAAAGTTGGTAAGTTTCAGGTTGAAGCTGGGAGAAAAATAAAGCAGTGATATTTCCTTAGCACTGGTGCAAGAGGGGAAAACTGCTGTTTTTAAGAGCTAGAAACACCTGGCATTAACACAACTACACTGAATCTTGATCTCTCAGGGTTTGTTCTCTAAGACATGTAAAAGCTTACCAAGTTATAAAGCAATTTTTTCCATTATAACATCTTTTCCTGTAAAGAAAGAAATTTCACAAAACAGCTGTTATGTACTCATTGTAACCTATGCTGTCAGCATTTCTTAATGAATGTCTGTCTTTGAAATGAGAAAAATAGCTGCTTCTGAAATAAAGAGCTACAAATCGTCCCTCTAAAAGAAATCATAAAATGATAGAAAATTGGTCCAGAATTCATCTCAAGAGGTCAGTCAGTGTGGTTTCTTTCCTAAGAGCAGAATCCTGCATCTACACTATTCCTGGTATATGTTTGTTTTACCTTTTCTTTACAACTTTCAGTGATGGAGATTATATCATTGCTCAAGTCACTCAAGCTATCCCTGCTGTTAGAAAAAGGTGATGGCTGGGTTGGATTATTTTTGCTATCACCTCCTCTCTCACTTTCAGGGCCAATCTTAACTTTCCCTAGTTTGCTAGAAGCCTGCTCTTTCTTATCCCATCCACGCTGGTCATGGAGAGCAGCATTCTCTTCTTTGCAATTCCCTTCAACATAACTTAAGGCCATTGCTGTTGCATTGTTCTGGAGAAGACCACTCCAGTCTTTCATTTTTTCCTTCTAGATGAGTTTTTTCAAACCTCTGATGAATTTTGTCCTTCGGGAATTGTGTGACAGATGAAGTCAAGATTCTTGCTGAAGTTGAGAATTGTGACGTCTACTGAATCTCAGCTTGGGTACAAACATATTAATACTTCAAGTTAAAATACACACATAAAGTGAATCCCACTTCATATTAATTAGGTACTTTTAATTTGTAAATATTTGTTAATAGCAGAGATTGTCAAGGCTCCACACGTGCGCTATGCTCACTGTCACATTTGCATACGAAGGTTTACAAAAGGAGCTATACCAGCCCTTTCATCCCCCATGTCAGCCTTCATGGTGGGACAGAACCTGAGAAGGTTCCCATTAATATTAGAATATAGAGCCTTGAGAAATTAGCCAAACCTTTCTCAGCTGTTCCGATCTTTCTCTTAGATCCTCTCTGACTTGTCTAAATGGGAGATTTTTGTGATCCGCCTTGATGAATTTGAAGTGAGAAGGCATTAAGCTCCTGTACAATTTTGGGTGTGGACTTATCCCATTGAAATGGACACAGAACGGGGGGGTTCTCTGTAGGACAGTGCTGAATACTGAGATGATGCTCAGAAACCAATTTGATCCTTTGCAAGGATGGAGAAGGTTCCTGTGCAGTATTTTGTGGAGGTTCAGAAAGGCATATTTGGCTGAACTGTGAGACTTAGCTCTTTTCCAGCTCAGTCAAGCTAGACTATGAAGCTGAAGGTCTTTTCCAGTAATTTGGAAAAGGCAAAAAACCTCTTACCTGGCATACCATATGGCTGTACTTGGACATCAGAGTAGATGCTAAGAATGTTGATCTATGGATAGATTACTTATTCACATGGCACAAATGTGTATATATATCCAAGATAGTAGGTTTACACTTGGCACCATTCTTCAGACTGGGAGAGGTACCCCTTCCTGCCAAGTTGTTGTGAACAGAAAGTGAGGCATGAGACACCACGTATTTTTCTGAAGTGTGAAAAGTTCTCAGCCTAACAGAGTGTGATGTGGGCTGAAAACCGTGGAGAGTTCTGTGATATGGTAGTTTCAGAAATAAGGTGTGTGGCTGCAATTATTGGCATGTGTCAAATGTAAATGCTGTTTATCTAGGAAGATTTAAATCTGACAATGGTGTTGCTACAGAGTTGTTTTCTGTTTTTTAACTCATGTTTGCCTTGAACAAATCTAGTCCATTTGTCTTCTGTTTTATGTAAACCTTTAAACTATGTTTATACTTAAAATGTAGAATTAAAACTTTCCATATGCCTTTTTTAATTTTTTTAATATCTAGACATCCCCTTTTTTTCAACCACTAAAGTCTCATTTTCAGCTGTTTTAAGTTGCTTTGCCTTTATCATGCCTGCATAAGGTACTTAACAGACTAATCCACAAATTCAAACTCAGCTGTGGTAGAACAAAAGCTATTAAGTCACCACTCTCCTAGTACTTTTCTCTGTATACATCAATGCTAGATAGTACATTTTGTCATGAATGCTTCCAGTGCTTCTAAATGTTCTGTTTGATGCCTTGCTTTACATATAATAGCTTGGTAGGTTGATGGATTGTGAGCTTCCCTAGTATCATGAAATACCTTTCCAAAGTCCTGGAGGATTTTTGAGAGGGGAGAATTTTAATTTTCCCACTAAACTTTTCACTTCCAAGAAAAGCAGTTCAGCCTGTGATTCCATCGGTCAAATGAGGGACCTTGATAGAATCTGTTGGTGAGATTTCACATAATTTGAATGTTCTGTTTCTACAATTGTGATAGTTTCAGAAAACAATTTAATTTTTTTTTCCAGTTGACAGAAGACTTTGCATGCTCCTTCACTCATAGCTGGGAAAAACAGAAAGATGACTCAGATGCATGTAGGTTTTACTGTTCTCTGTCTAATGAATGCTGCTAAGGAGTCTGCTGCCTATGGAAAATTAAGCATTAGTGAGAAGATGGGAGTGCTGGCACTTTTAATAATATCTGTTCTGTAAATTAGGGGAAATTGTACTGAGGTAGGAGTTGCAGGACTGTAGCCTGGAGACTCAGTTGCTCTGAGCTGGTAAATGCCTGTGGATTCCACTGATGTTATTGACATTGCGCTCCACTGAAACAGTAGAAACAACATTCATTGTAAGGCACGTAAAATTTCCATGTCAGTGTGCCAGCTGAATTTTAAACCTATTCTGTTGTAACTTAAACATGTAATTTGTTGCACTTTGACTGGTCTTAACTTTCCTGACACAGGCTCTTGTTCAAGCTATTCACTAGCGTAGGTAAAATAAGCCAGGATAAAATCAAAGAGCATTAATGACTGTGACGGCTATTAGCTAATATGAAGAAACTATTCTCTTTAGACTGGTGGTTGGTTGGCTGCTCTGAAGGAGCAAGGAGCTGAAGGAGAAGCTCTCTCAACAAAATATCTTCAGAAATAAGTAGTGTTGTCAAATGTCATTTTGTGGCTGAGCTTTTCAATGTTTTTATGTGGTAGTGCAGAAATACAGTTTAAATCTGTGGAAAACTTTTTCTATTAAGAGGTGTTTCTTTTTTATTTGTATATCCACTTTCTCTTACGTACTTTGATGTATTTTCTTCGTGTCTAATAACAAACTATTCTTGATGAATTATTTTTTCTGAGTTTTCCCTTTTAAACTTTAGATGTTTTAGTAGTCTTACTGTAAAGATCTCTTTCCCCTACTTCATTTTGTTGGGGTTTATTTGGGTTTGGGTTTTTTTTTAATTCTCTTTTCTCCAAGCATGGTTTTGTATCTATTTCTAAATCTGTCTTCGTTGTTAACATGATTTCTTTTTCACTCTTCCACTTACTTTTTTTGGAATGAGGACAGAACCATAGGTCTTGTTCATCTTTGCTTTCTAAATATATGTATGCATTTGAGTAATTCTGCACAAAAATTTTTGCATTGTTTTGGGGAAGGAGGGGTGGAGGCCAGTTTGGGACTGGAAAACATTAGTCAAGGCACAGGCAGGGATTGTTGTGACTTCTGCGCTGGTAATTATTTCTGAACTTTCTGAGCTGCTTCAGAACATGATCACATTACTGTGTGCGTCGTTGAGAGAGACAGAAGTCTGTTTTCTCTGAATTCTTACATCTCCTCAGAAAAATGCTTTGGTATTACATAATTGCCATTGTTCTTTTGCATGTTTTTCATAGCATCCTCCTGGGCAGTTGAGAAGGAAGTACAGTTCCTGCTCCACTATTTTCCTGGATGACAGCACAGTCAGTCAGCCAAACCTCAAGTATACCATCAAATGGTGGGTTTTATAACTCTATTTTTCGTTTTGCTAGAGCCTGTGTTATATATGTGTATCTATGCATACATATTTCTGAACCATTACTAAGCAAGCTTCAAAGGTTTTAGTTTTTGAAGGAGAAAATTTATGTAATTTGATCATGCTGCAGAGGCAGTGAATAGGATAAGCAAGAGCTTATTTTCTTATTTTAGCTCTGTGCAGAGTCAAACTCCCAATACTGCATATCTCAACAGAAAGCAACAATTAAGATTCTCAGATTCCAACAGCTGAAATCCTTGTGCTTCAACATTCAACCAGGTACTTGCTTTGGATGGGTCCTCAAAACTGACTTGGGTACTTGTTTATTCAGAGTTTTGGAATTACCTGAATTTTAAGACCTCTTTTCTGTTCATGAGATGATGCTTATGAACATTTGCTGAGCTTTCCTTCCTGTTTTCTGTTGGAAATGGAAATGAATTGTCTGCAGATTCATTTCCTTATTGACTACAAGGGCACTGGCAGTTTATTATAATACACAGCAGCGGGGAGCTTTGTGTGTGGTGCGTACATGGGCTTACCCTTGGGTGTTGCCTCAAACAATCATTTCAGGTTTCACTGGTGCTTTTCTACATTTGGAGAGAAATGAAATTGGTATTTATAGAGGATTGTTCTTCACACTTTGTACAGTAAGGGGAAAAAATGAGAGAACAAATGCTCAGGCATTTCATGCTATTTGTTCATTATGATTGCTGATACACTCTCTTGAGTTGTTCATAGGATGATTGCCTTGCTGTACTCAAGTGCAAAAATTTATTAAGATAAAATCTCTGCTACGGAAATATTTGCATGAGAGACAAATATAGTCAGAATAACACGTCCAAAGGGGTTTATAGTGTTGGTGGTCACTAAAACATGTTCTTAATTTTTCTGATTAAGGGAAGAAGGGAATGGAGAAGGGATTTGCAGTCAGATTGACACCTAATTCCTCATCAGCTCTTTCTGCCTGAATAATAGTCTTGCTTTACTTCAAGTTTCTTTAATTAGTAACAATAATTGAGATGAACACTGAAAAAAAGGATTTTTTTTTTCTTCTTTTTTTTTCCTTCTGGAATCCCATACTTTACTGCTGTAAAATGCTTTGCATGCAGATTTCTTTTAAGTGCAGCCTTTTGGGTTTTGGGCCCCTTTTTGAATCAGAACTGAAACTGCTTATGGAAAGAAGAGGTGGGCTCAGTTGGCTGCAGCAGCCCAGACTCTTTTGCATCAGGCCACAGTGGTCAGCAGCAACCTTGTTGAAGAGGCGCTAGAAAGAAATGCTGGGGGTTGGGGAGCAAAGTGGTGATGTTTGGGAGAGACTTGGGATGTAAGGCAGGAGGGAGAGCCATAAGGAAGAGAGGGACTGTGTCAGGCTGGAAGAGCTGTTGCTGGGTCTAGGCGGAAGGAGTTGTGCAGGGTTGGGGCCAAGCTGCCAGTGTGGCAAGGGGTCAGGGGGTTTGAAAAGGGCTATGTGGGGTGAGAAACTGGACTTTGGCACATAAGGCCTCTGGGTGAGGAGTCTTTTCTCTGCTGTCTGGCTGCACATTTAACAGATTGAAGGGTAGAGAGACTGCAGGATTATTGCTTTTGAAAAACTTCATTTCTTGCCCTCACCCTGGCAGCCTCTGCTGACAAATGGCTAGTGTAGGTAAATCTATGAGGGATGTATTTTGACTGTCTTATTTGTTTCTTCTGGGTCACCTTACACACTGGAGTATTTAAAATATTAGTGCATATACTGGAGATCTGCAGCATCAGTGGGGTGGCTGGGGTAGGGTGATGGAAAGTTCCCTAAGCTTCCTTCCTGCATACCAAGAGCTGGCTGAACCAGCATATGAAAAGCAGAATGAAACTTGAGTCTGAGTTAATCTATTACAGCTCCAAAAGACTTTCAGATTCTGATACAGATTTGTAAATAGTAAATACTTTCTGAACATAATTTGACATTTTGTTACAAAAAGAACCATATGGGCACCAAGCAGAGAGCTCTGTACATAGATTCTTGCATCTGCTTTCATAAAGTGAACTGGAGCTGCAAGTGTGTTCCTTGGGGCATAATTTAAAATTAAATTTGAGGACTAATTCATTTTGTGAATAGCTTTCAGTCAGGCTAACTTCATTCATAAATGTGTTTTTTGTGTTCAGTGAGGACTGTGCCCTTCAAATGTCTACGGTACACAGTATCTTTTAATTCCTTAAATATGTATCTATAGAAAAAAAATCAAATTTTAAAAGCACTTATGAGCTAAAAACTTCTAGTGCAGTCAGGTAAAAGCTGTAATGCTCATACAGAGTTAGAAAAATGTTTTTACTTTCAACTAAGAAGAACTATTTTCCACTGCATGGCTGTTCAAATAAAGCAAAACCAAACAAACCTGAAATAAGTTAAAATTCTACTAATGGCATAGCTCCAACATATTATCTTCCTAATACGCAGTATAGCAGTTTTCATGTAAAAATTCTGGAATAAAAATTACAGAACAAGCCATTGACTCTTTCAAAAGGCCTTTTATTGGAGAAGGAAGGAATTTTGCATCAGTGTAAGTCACAAGCATCTTATAGGGAATCACTGACAAGACAAATTGTCAACAAACAGAAACTCCCTCCTTCATCCACTTTAGCTTTGACTGGGTTTTGTTCTGCTGGAGCAAGTAGGGAGTCATGAGTAGAGCGTGTTTCCTTTGATAACACTGGAGTTGTGAGTTGGAAACTGGAGAATAACCATGAGAAGCCATGTCTTAATTTTCTTTGGTCTCAAATGTTAATGAAATCAGTTAGTTGTGTATGTCATTAAAATCTTAGCTTTCTGTGAATGTAAGGATGCTTTTTGTCTTTGCACAGTATATAAACGGGTACTTTGGTGAGTGGTTGAGAACATGGAAAATGCATAATGCAGTAAGTTATTCAGGGAGTCATCTTTCCTGAGTTAAAGTAAATAACTTGATGCCATAAAACTGTAGAAGCCTGGTATTTCAATCTGGTATGTGAGTAGCTACATAGAAAGACAGCCAAAAGTTAATGGATTTAAACATAAAATCATAAGCCATTTTTAAACATAAAATCATAAAACATTTCATGTTAGCCTGGAAGCATTAGCAAACAATAACAGAGAATGTTCAATGTCTGTGATTCTTTATCTTCAACCTCGGAAGTCAGTAGGAGTCTTATCATTGACTTTGGTGGCGTAGGGCATTAAATGGAAGGTATGTGCAACTTGGTATATGGAGTACGAGTATTTTTGTAAGATACTTGATTATTAGTGAAAAAGAGGCACTTGGAGTGTGCTGAACAGATATTCTAGAATTGTCTGTTTAGAGCAGTCTTCCTGGTATCTAACACTGAACTGAATAAAATAGGCTGTTGAGCATATTTTTGTCATGCATTGTGCTGGGTTTTAAATTTGCCTGTTAATATAAATAATATAATTTGACAGTCCTGAGATACTAACTCTGTATTTTTCTTTACAGTGTAGCTCTTGCAATATATTACCACATCAAAAACAGGTATGTGAATAATGAAATCTTGTACTGAAGTTATCTAATCAAAACAAATTAACTGATCAAACCCTAAAAATCCATGCTGTGTTTCTTTCAAAATGTTTTTGAGTAGTAGTTTCCTTATTTTCCATGCTAGAAATGAGAAACATATTCTTTTGTACGTTTTATATATATTATTTTGCTTAGAAAAAATAGAAATTAGAGGATGATGTACCATAAAAATCTGGAAGTACAGTTCATCACTGAAAAACTTTGATCAGTTTTTGGTTTTATGTGTACTGGGCGCTTCTGCATGGTTACATATGTTGTGATTATGTATAGACAAATCTGAATAGTGGCTTTCAGATTGATTTTTTTCTCTTTTTTTTATAATTTATTTTTTTACTACACCTTTGTAAAGGTAACTGTAAATCATTGATCAGTTAATGTTGATGGTTTTTGAAATAAAAGATAGTAAATATACAGGAAGAGTGACATTGTGAATAGATGTAATTCAAGAAGCCTCAGAAACGGAGCAGGTCCTGGCTTCTCTCTTCTGGTGTAGTATGTTTTAGATCTCTGCTCAGTCAAGTTGATTGAAATTGAATAGAAAATACATTCTCTAAAAAGTAACTTGGTGCATAAATTAGCTTTCTTCATGTTGAATCATGGTTTTGTATCTTAACTTCCCTGTCCTCATGATATATCACAGTATCATAAGATAATATTTCCTGGCATTTCTAAGGAGAGATTGTATAAATACTTAAAGTGACTTTTTTGTCTATGGCTTTTCAGTGTGTCTTTTCAGAGAACTTGGCTTAGATCTCAATCTAACAAGCCACTTGCACATTTTTTTTTCTTCTGGACTGTAAGAAGTCAGACTAGAACAAAAGGAATTACTCATAAGTTTAAAGTTAAGCTGGTACGTCATTCGGGACCATGTTTCAGGTCATTGGCACCCATCACACTTGAAACAAGGCTGACATCTGAAGAGAAACCTTTAGAAGTGCACAGGGGCAGAAAGGCTTAGGGCTTGATCTCTGCTGAAAGCACTTGGAAGACTTTCCAAGATGTCAGTGGGCCTTGGACAGAAACATGGCAATATGGAATGCAGGAGTTGGAGTGAAATCTTTATGCAAACTTTTAATCTCATTTCCCAGGAAATGAGGCATCAGTGATCATGCTTGGATTACTTGTTTATCCATCTGTGGTTCCCTCTTTCCCTTGGTTAGTTTGGCTAACTAGTATATTTTTACTATGCTTGACTAAATGAGAGATGTCAAAGATAATCAGACTCTAAAGTTATGTGGAAGTAAGTTATTTTTAAGTGCTCTATTAAGTTTCATGCCAACTATATAAAAGAGAAAAAAGCAGATTAGGGACTACAAAGGGTGAGGAACTTCAGTAAGAGCACAGAGTTGAGCAGGAGGAGTCCAGAGCCAAAGTACACCAGACTTGCTTTTTTGCATATTGTCATGGAGCTGATTTTTGTCTGCAGTAAAATATGCCCACTTGTGTTCTTACAGAACTTGATGCAAATTTGACTTACAACTAATAGACAGAGAGGTTAAACTTTATAAAAGAAAGAGTCCCAAGACAGTGTCTTGGAGACAGACACATTCTGAATGTTACCTTCTTGGGAAACTTGCTATCTGCGTGTGCTTTTAGGATGGAGAGGTGATTTATTCAGGCAGGTCCAGTTGCTGCCCAGGGTGGGAAGGCGCGTTGTAAACATTCCCTCTGTTGTGCTCGGGGCAGATGGTCTCAGCAGCAGTGCTGGAGCTGGCTCGTGATCATCAATTAATGACTCTGAAATGAAGGATGTGAAGTGACTGTTCTGTCTTCAGTTTTTTGGAATTTTGGAATGAAGGGACAATGTGATAACAGCATTCAGATGTACTTGCTGATGAAACAGCAATAGCAAGGCGTACGTTCTATTTCCTGCCATTATAGGCTAAAATGAAGTTGTTGACGTATGTGGTAGATTTTGGTTCATTATGGGGGGTGGGGAGTAAGAAACCACTGTAACTCTTACGAAGACTCAAGTTTGATTTTGACAGAAAACGAGTCAAGCACTTGCTTTGCCAAAGAATTGTTTTCAGGCAACATTTAGTTGTTCATTTTCTCCTGCACAGTAGGCTTAAGACTAAATTATTTCCTAATACTCCAAACTCTTACTAGTCCCATTGTTTTTGAGAAACTATACATGAAATAGAATATTTCTTCATATGTTTCCCACTTTCAATTTGATTGTGACATTGTAGTTATTATTCCTTCTTTACCCAGTATCTCCTGTCATTGTTATATTGATTGGCTTTCTGCAGCTTTTTTTTTGTTGTTGTTCTGCTTAGCTGTTCAACATGTGGTAAAGTCTGCACTTACCTTGTTTTCTAAGGAATCATAAGTATTGGTGAATTTGCTAAATAAATAAACAAAAGAAACCCCAACAAACTAACCATGAAAAATGCTTAGGATCAATTTGTAGATGGTTCATTTTATAAAGATAATAATGTAAACTTGTTCTAATGGGTTTTTTTTTCATATAGCTTGAGGACAATCAAATGTACCTTCATATCATGCAGCAGCTACAACATGAAGAAATAACATAGGAAATTATTTCTTTCTTTCTCCTCATTGTGAAGGGCCACAGTTTATTTAGCACATCAGTGAGACTACTTCTGTATTAAGATACTAGCCTTTTTATGCAGGGGCAAGAGTCTCTGTTATATTCCTTGGCGATTGGGAATTTTGTAGTAATTATCTCAGTCTGTTTGTTTTAGTTTAGGTAATCCTTAAAAAAACCCAACGTGCTTATTTCCAGAGTTAGGAGGCATTATAGCAGAATAAATGTCATCTTCAGATGTTGACGTTTAAATGTTAACTGCTAATAAATACGTTTTGTAGACATGAATCCACTGTAAAACTCATGTTTGCATGCTCTGAGACATGTGCTATTGAATAAAGACAGAAGACATATTCAGTGACTTCTCTCTTAAGAACTCTATGACCAGAGTACCAGGATGCTATAAAGAAAGATGGGATTGTATGAAGGAGGTCACATGGATGCATCTGTGCACAGTGTCCAGTTCTAACTGGTACTGTTATACCACTCACTTCTGTGACTGTCAGTGTTCCTGCCAAGATTACACGCAGCAAGATCTTATATTGCATACTGGATGTTAGGCTTGTGAACTTGCAGAAACTTGCATGCTGATTTTGAGCAACAGGGATCTGAGAGAGAAATAGCAGATAAAACCAATGAATAGGAATACTATTTTGTCGGGTTTTCTTTTTTTTTTTTTTTTTGTATATACTCCTTTTTGTTTTCAGAAATCATTATGAGAACAGGATAGGATTTTCCAAGTAAAAAAAAAAGGTGAATTATATATGTATTAACTAAAAAATAACTGCAAAAATAGTTAAGAAAAGGAGAGTAAGCTGGGCTGATTTTATGTTTATAGTAGTACTTCTTACTACGGTGAACAAACCTCACAGTAGAGAGTACAAAAGCTATGTGTCTTGGGCATTGAAAATGGAAAATTTTAGCAACTTTATAGTACGGGTTTCATGTTACATGTGAATTTTGTGGCAAAACAGGTCCAGCTTCTGTTTGAAAATCGTATTTCTGCTGTGTTTCTAAGCATCTTGCAGCATTGAGAGTGCTGGAGTTTTAGCAATATATTTGTGTCTATGAGAGCTGCGTGCTGTCATGTTCAGATAATGACACTACTTTGGTTTTAATGCTTTTTAGGGATACAGACGGAAGAATGCTCTTAGATATTTTTGATGAAAACCTTCATCCCCTTTCGGTAAGTTCATCTTCCTCTTCTTCCCTTTCATGTGAACTGTCTTTCTTTCTGTCTGCTTCATTTTGTTTCAGTCACCTATTTGGAAGTATTTCTTCCTTAGAAATCCGAAGTGCCACCAGACTATGACAAACATGACCCGGAGCAGAAACAGATTTACCGCTTTGTTCGGACGTTGTTTAGTGCTGCTCAACTGACTGCTGAATGTGCCATTGTCACCCTGGTGAGTGTCTGAGAGATGACATCAGCCATTCTGACAGACCCAGCTTTGTTCTCAAAGTTTGGGCTTGTATGATTTAATAAGTCTAGGTGCTACCAGGGAATTTTTTCTCACCATGGAAACCAGGAAAATTTTTTGATGGCAAGAAATGCTACACTTCATTTCCTTAGGGAGAGTAAGTAATGGAAGAAGAGGTTATGACATGCAACAGAAAAGCTGGGGTTAAGTCTTGCCTTCACAAGAGTGATAATGTTACAGACCACCAAGGTGACTAATAGAAAATGCAGATGGCTTAAGTATTTTTAACAGGAGGGAATGTTTAAAGCTGAAAGGCTTCCACTTTTGTGGGGTTTGCTGTGTAGCTCCCAGCAGAGATTTGGGAACAGCTGTAGGTAATTTGATAGCACTGATAAGACTTGACAGGCACATGAAGGATTCTGTGAGTGGCTGGAACATGTTGGTGATGGCTCTTTTTCACTTGCACTGTACTTGTCTTTCAGGACCATGTCATAGGATTGAACAATTGTACTCAAGGCTGGAGTTTAGCTACTTAAAAATAGCACAACACAATAGAAGGTTCAGATTTTCAGCTGGTCTGGATCAGCATAGCAGTGTGGATTAAAGTGATCTCCACCAGCTGAGAATTTCTTAATTTTCCTGAATTTTTTATCCTGCCAGTTCCAGCAAGCCTCTTCAGCTTTCAGGCACAATTTTGGCCATGTTCTTCACTCGGGGGGTTTTAAAAGAATAAAATGTTTTTTTACCACCGCAACATGCAGTTTCATAACAGCTCTGTTACACACTTTAGATGGAAGAAGGGGAAATTGGAGAAGGTGGATTTTGAAGCCCAGACCTACTCATTTCCTCTGTTAATCTCTCTTCCTTGGCTTCTAAGATTAGTTGGCAGGCTTTTCTCCTTCAGACAGTCAAAATGAATTGTACTAGCCAGTACAGGACAGGAATATGAGAGAAATAGGGCAAGAAACACCCTGCAGTGCTCCACCCTTGCGTTTTCAAGTGTTACTTTACCTAGTTACTTGACCCAGCCATTACTTGTTTTCCCAAATGACATTTTGTCTGTCTCTTTTACATAATTGCGCTAAGTACTTGTCCTTCTCCCTTTTCTTCCTAAGTGTTTTCTGCCGGAGGCACGATATGCTGTGTGAATCAGTATGTTCTTCTGTAATTTAATTAATCCACTGTCAAATACAGTGAAACTTTGTTGTAGTTATCTCTTGTTTGATCTTTAGCTATTTGATCAATGGGGGCACTGTTTAGTAGTAAGGAAGAAGGCTTTCTAAATAACAGTATCTTCCTGTTATTGCAATGCATGGAACGTTTTTCCCCACAAATCTTGTTAACCTAGTCATATATTGTAGTATCTTTTTATTTGTAACAGTTTCCTTGCCTCTTCTGGTTCTCGTGTGGTTTCTCTGCAAGCAACTCTTTTGCTGTGATCTGCAATGAAGTATAAATGTTTTAACTCATTTGTTATACTGCAAAGTCAGTTTCCATAGTTATTAATACTTGAAAACTTAGGTGGCTCAGTTTTTTTAGCCAACACAATGATAACAGGTGAACTGTTTCATAGTTTAGTTCTCAAAGCAGCCATGTGGATACTTGTGGGTAGATTTTGTGCAGGTGATCAGTGTTACTGTTCTGCTATTCTCGCCCTTGTTTTCAGAATAATAGCACCTTCCTGACCCCTCTTTCCAGAAGGCTTCAGAGGTTTTGGATAGTTTTAAAAGTATGAAGTTCTGCTGCTGCTGTTGTCAGATTCCTCTCTGCTTCTAAATCCGATTTCTTTATTTGTTCATCTCATCAGGAGGGGCCCCAGAGACAGACTGTGTTGTTTCTGAAATGTTCAAAGGCGGAAATTAATCTGTTAAAAAGCAGTAAACCCTTGCTCCTCCCTGCACTCCTGAGATCTTGATAGTGTTGATATCGCTATTTATGAACTTCCCAAGTGCTTTCAATTTTTGATACCCTGTCTGGAAAAGAAGAGAGCAGCATTCCTTGCTTCAGTTTATGTTTTGCCACAGTCTGGCTGTCCATCAGAGAACAATGTGATAGCCCTGTCTGTCACTTACTCCTCCAGGGAGGGTTGCCAGAAAGCAGGAAGGGCATCTGTGGAAATCCCATTTTGAACAAGATGCTGCAGCTATTATCCTTATTTCACTCACTAATTATTTTTAAACAGTCCTAACCACCCCCTTTTACTGCCCATATTTTTAACATGGTCTAACAAGGTGTGTAGTTGAATGCACTCGCTGTTGTCTTCTTACATGCCATTAGCCAGGACAAAACAGCAGTTACGGCTGGTTCTATAGCAGTCTGTATGTTACAGCACAGGAGCTGGGTAAGTGTGAAACTCCACACTGTTAGATAAGCTAGTCTCCAGCACAAAGCTGGCATTGTGTTGCTTCAAGCACTTAATTAAAATATTTCAATTAAAGCCTCCACTATTAAAGTTAAATCAGTTTATAATTAAACAAAAAAATTAATTTTCATACAGCCTCCAGAGCTGCCAAGAGATTTCCCATACTGATAGGTGAAAAATTAAAATCTCGAGTTGAAACAATTAAATACTAATTCTCAGTATTTATTTATGAAATAATACCATTAGAATAAAATTAGCTTTAAGAATTGTGTTGCCGATTTAAAGTCTTGCAAATTATGTTTTCTGTCCCAGTGAACAGCAGAACTATACTTTGTGACCTGACTTTGTGGAAAAAATAACATGTGTGTGCTTCTCCTGCAACCCAGAGTATTCTCACCCTTCCTAAAGTTGAGAAAGCCCATCTCATCTAAACCGTCTCCTCAAGTGCAGAGGTGGCAAGTTGTACGTGTGTTAACCTACTAATTGGATAGCAAATAAAAGTGTGAACAGGATTGTCACCTTTACTAACAGGAAAACAATACAGTGTTTGCATGTCCTGAGAATTAAACATTTATGCTTTGTTCTTTTGTCCTGTAAAACAATCCTATTAACTCAGTGTGAAGAGGAGAATGGTGCAAGTTTTCTGCTTTGTCTTGGCATGGCTTCCTCAGCTTTTTGCAGATAGGCCGAATCTAAGGCTCTTAATATACCTCCGTGTTCATAGTAGTTTCAGAGAGGGTACATTTTGCATGTGCAGATATGCAGATAGACAGTTATGCAAAGTTTCTATGCTATAGACTGATCAGATGTGGTGATATGTAAATACATACAATACATGAGCTGAATTAATTCTGTGAGTTCAGAGGAGCATGCTTTTGAAAGAAAGTTCATACTGTGACAGAGAGGATTTGATACTGGGAAATGTGAAGTACATAAGAATGAAAAACAGGGATTTAATTAATCCAGCCAGATGTTCCTGAGTTCTTATTGCACTCTTCAGTCACGTTTTAAGCAACTAGGTAAAGAGAGAATATCGTTGAACTGTGTTGTGAAAGTTACAGTATTTGAGGAGAATTTTGTTTCTTGTGTGTTTGGAAGAAAGGAGAAAGCTTTCAATTGCTTTCCTTTCACTGGGATATTTTTACTTCTAAATGCTGATAAAATACCTTTTTTTTTTTTTTCTCCCGTATTTCAGTTGAAGTATCAAAAACCTGATGCTTGTTTAAAAGAAAGCATAAACATAGAAGCAAGTGACCAGGGCCCTGAGAGGCACTTGATTTGCAGCAAGGGTCCTTTTCAAGTGGGCCAGTGTAACTACCAGTCCTTATGCAATTAACGGAAGATGCAGATTCCTCCAAAGACCTCAGAGTGCAATGCAAAGCACTGTTTGCTGCCTGCTTTGATGCTGTCACACCCCATCCAGTGACCATAAGGGGTCATGAGTGTGGTTGTCTGAGCAAGGCAAAGCATTGAAGCTGGGCTCTTTCTCCTGTAAGAAACCCATGAGAAGAGTTGTGTGTATCCAGCATTGTTGGTGTCCACCTTTGTCCTGGGCCTTAAGCATTCCCTGGGAGGTGGCTGAAGACCACCACTTTGCCTCATCTGAAGGTCTCCCAGGCACAGAGAGAAGATTTCTCCACCTGTGCTGTGGATCCAGAGTCCCTTGGCAGCTGGCCATGTGTCAGGATAGACTCTGGAGAAAGCCAAGAGGAACAGGGAATTGATACCTCTGCTCCAGGCACTGAGGGGAGCAAAAGACTCAGATTTTTCCCTGGTTTTAGGGCCATTCTCATCTTTTGACAGCAGTCTAACATACAACACCTGAATAGCCTTTGACTAGTTATCAATTAATGCTTATACCTCTCTTTAGTCTGGTATTGCTTTAGGCCTGCTGGGATATACACTTCATAAAAAGAGAACGTTCATGCTGGGGGTTGGGAGGGAATTCTTTTGAAATCCCTAAGAGAAGAGGACATTCTGTCAAAGAATGGGTGTCTGTTACCTGATGCATCTCTAAGGGCTTCTGTGTGGGCAAGGAATGAATACTGATCCCAGTTTTAGACTGGAAAGTTGCTGTTGCCTGATCGAGTGTATTTTGTATGTATTGTAGATATTTGTCTTGAAATTAGTAAATTAGGGGGCAAACCTGGAGATGTGTGACTTTTCTCTAGGTTTCATTAGTACTTCCTATAAATACCTGCAGTGGGACTTTGCCGTTGCTCACATTTCCAGAGTCCTGTGACCACGTTTGTTATTTTCTTTCAACATTTGGTCTCAAAAATAAGAATTGGATGAATTTGCAAGGAGTATGGTTATGTGATGTCCTTTTCCACCAAATGAATGACACGAGACCTTTGTGAAACATTTTAAATGCCCAGCTGGGCAACTGCAAAGCAGAGTTATTTCTGGAGAGTCATGGTAAAGAACTGTCTGATTCCTTAGAACAGAGCATATGGCAGTTTAGCAATTGGATTAGAGCTGTAATTTGGCTATATGGGACCCAATACCAATTATACTTCTTTTTTTTTGTTGTTGTTCAAATATCTTTTAAGTTTCTAGGCATTATGACATACTGAAATTTTCTCAGTAGAGAAAGAGGACTGTGTATTTCTTTGTGATGTGT